TATCGGTAAGAAGTGTTTACAGTGAGTTTATATGACACTCATTGTTTATGAAACTTTATATTTGTTTACTTTACTTATAAGGGTGATTCGTGAATTTATGCTTTTTATTAGGGTGGTCCTTAACTCACATTCGCTTAGCACTTTTACTTCAATGGTTAACATTGGAATGATTTTGTGAATGAACGCACAGATTATATATTTAAATTTGGCATATAACGAGTCACAGTTTTTACAAGGTTCAAATATAGAAAGCCCGCTTGGTATACGTTATTTAGGATGCAATCATCTAGGAAATTTTAGCATACTTGAGTCCCAACACAGCCCACTTATCATAGAAGTGTAACGCTGTTAGTATTCTACTACATGTTTGTCTCCTCGAAAACTTTCTTGAGGTGATTTTAAATACGCTCTAATTGAAATAGTTTTTGTTAAGTATTTATTGATCTATTCAAATATTTTTTTTTGCCTGTGGTGTCCCACTGCAACGTGGGGTAAATACCCCCTAAAAAATTGAAAAATTTTTAAACTTTGTTGAGGATTGTTCCAGCCTTCAGCTATTGAGAATGTAATAGGTGCTTGCGTTAATTTTGGTCATTTTTTCACTTGAAAGAGGCAATCATTCAGAAAAATTGGTACAACATATATTAATCAAAATATTTTCCAACACGTTCTGGAACATTTTTTTGGCAACATGGCGAAGTCTTTCCTAAAGAACTTATATTGGTTTGGCAGCGATCCAATCATCGAGCTATTTGGGCACTTCTTCAATTTTGCGAAGCTGCATGCCAGCCATTCCATGGTGCATCGGTCTGTACAAGTGGTATTCAGAAGGCCCCGTGTCTGATGAGTACCCTGGGTGCCGCAGAACTTCATATTCGAGCTGCATCAGCGCATCCTTGCAACTTTTGCAACAAGGGCCCAAAAATTTTACATTTTCAGGTAATCCGTAACATCACTTTTAAAACTTTGATACCAAAAGCGGCAATTGGGATATGATGAGGCAGCATCACTGAAAGCTTCTGAACATGTTTGACGGGCGTCTGCAGCAGATTTTGTGAACAAAAGTAATGAAAAACGAAAATACAATTTTGAGCGCTCAGTGCGATTCGGCTCGGCATACACTCAATGAATCAATACTATTAAATATATGACTATTATTTTATGTAGAGAAAGGTCAAATTCATCGAACTGGTACACTGGTAATTTCCATTACCCTATCCTTTTTACCTGTAGAAGCCGTTGACTAACGCAAGCACCTAATATATTTCTCAACATCGTTTTCATTTTCGTAACTAATTTCTAAACGAGTTTAAAAAAAACGCCATCATTTCAAGCTTTCATGCAGTGTATATTCCGACAATAGAAACGATGGAGAGACAAACGCATGTTAGTACAAACGGACTGACGAAGGGATAGACAGTCACCTTGAATAGACAGACTAACGAATAAATAAACGCATATATTCCCAACGGAGGGAAAAACTGACTGATGAAAAAATGTAGGATAAAGGCTGTAAAAAGTTGAACTATCTGAGTGAAGTAAATGCAGGTGCACAGATACATAGGACAGGTAGATAAGCCGGGAAATAAAGGCTATGAACGATTAAAAAAGTGAAAACATATAATGGCGAGCAAAGACAGACCAAAATGTGACAGACAGTTAAGTGGATGAACAGACAAGCAGTCGTGTGTACGGGGAAAATATGTGCTGGCACTTTTATGAAAGTGCGAGCAATCGTACTAACAAACGGATAGATGGACGTATGGATGGACACAACAACAAGCACGCAATCGTAGTTATTTTGCATCAAAATCCTGTAGTGAATAGCCAATGAACTTGCTGACGAACAGTTCTATGTGTTGCAAATGCAGTGAAAACATTATGACATCCACCAGATTTTACGTTATGACGAGTTTGAAAATATATTCACTTAATTTTGAAATTTCGAAATTCAATACCTTTCAATGTAATGCACTTACACGCTAATAAATGCAAAGAAATGAATAAGCGTGTGATTGCGGTATTGCATTTATTATAATACCAAGATTTGTGTTATTAAGTGCATGCAATAATTTCGGTCATAAATTTGCCAAAGGTCAGGCATTTCATTTAAAAAGTAATTTATGACAAACGGAAACCGGAAACGCCTAAAATTGTAGTAAAAGTTTGCACATCCATTAAGCCAATCATACGCTCGCCTCCTATCCACTCACACGCATGTAAGGTCCTCCAGTCAAGTATGCATATGTGTGCATGTGTACAGATATGGATTTTAAAAGGATATTAAAACACTTTCAGTAGCAGCGAAGTACCATTCAATCAATTTGTGTATTTAAGTGGCTAGAATCAAAAATTTATCCGCTTACACACATATACGTGCTATGAACAGCTATGCATACACTATACATATATGTACACTTGCCTTACCGATATTACATTTACTCACCGATATAGGCACGTAAATGCGCTTAAACTTTGTCCTCTCTTTTCTTTCAAAAGGCATTTTGTGTGACATTTCCGTTCTACTGTTGCATGTTAACCAATTGTAGTTTAAGTGTTTATAGTAATAACAAAAGCAATAGCTTAGCAACTAAACTATTCATTATACCATTAACGTTTTCATTATCAAATTTATAAAACTATTCAAAGAATATAAGAATGAATTATAGGAAAATAAACAGGTGCCGACTTTAACGTATATTTATAGGTATATATAACGTGTGAATGAACGCATTCACCTTAAATGTAAAGTTATTTCAATTCGCACAGGCACCCCGTAAATTTCATGATTTTAATCGTTAGGTTTTCGTGTTAAATGCAAATAAGTAAGAAAAACTTACTTATGCTACCTTCTTGCTCTACAACGAAAGTTAATTTTTTGCCAACTCAAGCAAATATGTGATAAACGTAATTTTTTCCTTTCTAATATAAACTTGTTCGTAAGTTGTTTGAGACAGTTTTCATATTATGTTTATGAGTTTTGACGCTTTTTTACATTAACATACGAGACGAACATAGCGTATAACGTTTTATTAAATGAAATAATTGCATACCAAATAATATTTAACTCTAAATCGATAACTACTTAAGATCTTAGACAACAGACAGCATTATTAACAAAAGTTTTGGAACAGACGCGCACTACGCAAGATCAAGGTCTAACGCGCTGTACTTTGAACCCGCGGTCAACGACTTGGTAATCACGGCATTGATAATCTCGGCTATGTGGGAGCCAAAAAAAAATCACAAAGGCAATAACACTATTTCTATTATAGCAGTTTATAACTACGTCATTACCCATCAAGTTTCGTAAAGCGAACCATTTTATAATGTTTGTAACATTTTACTTACCTAGGCGTGGCATAATAAAAAGTCTCATGATTGAAGGTCTATTATCGACTGACATCCAATGGTAAAAATCTACGCAATAATCGCAAAATATTTTGGACATTATTTGTCAGAAATGTGCGATATACAGCAGTTTTCACATTCCCCATATAAGGTATTATGAGTTCTTCCCTATCGTTATATGTAAAAAAAATACAATATAAAAGCCGTCGCCTCGAGAACATTAAGAAAACAAGTAAGAAAAGTATAGTGAGGCAAAGCCGACAAAGCCTGAAAAATATAAGAGAAACAATCGCCAATAAAATTATAATAATTTCTTAACGCTACACGATTTAATAATTATCAGGTTGGTACTGGAAACAAATTTCAAATAACTTTCCGTAAGCCTATTAACGGGAAACCCTGGCTAAACCGTTTGTCCTCCAATCAAGCGTCACAGCTTCCAGTCCCCCTAATCCTCACCATTCCCTGTTAGAGTGACTCCGCTCTCCTTAAAAGTTGAGGGAACGGCTATTAAAAAATAAAAAGTGGAAATGCTATCGCCATTTTCACTAGAGCTATCCGTCATGATCGGCGTTGCCCATTTATTAGTAGACACAGAAAACAGCTGACGTGGTTTCGAATGCCGCAACCCCTTCGGTTTTCGGTTGATTAATCAAAAAAATATAATAAGGAATATACGCACAAACTAATCCAAGATAATATGTATACATGTATTCATATGCTTAAACTAATGCAGTATGAAGTTGAATAATGAGAGAAAATGCAATAAAAGGTTGAATAACGATAAAAGAATTTAAATAGTAATAAAAGAATCTAAATAATAATAATACTAAAAAAATACTATGCATATATATAAAATTGGTGAAGACCAAAGTTTGTAACCAAAACGGTCCTGGGCCTTTGGTCCTCACTATACATAGAAACAAAAAAAAAGCTATAGGATTGCAGCCAGCAGCACGTTAAGTACTCAACCCACTTGCTAATTGCATTGTACGTCTGTTTCATCTAACAAATATATCTGTTTTTGCGATTAAGATGTAAGGACACTTGAACTTATATATAGGAATTTATAAAGTCTCAGCTATCATTAAAGGTTATTGTGTGGGTAGGGGCGAATAAAAACAATTACAAGTTAAGTATTTATGGCAAGGTATGAAGAAAGATTAGCTAGAGAGCCCTGTACCTAAAAGAACCTCAAGTAACGCAATGTTTTAGTACGATAAAATATCGATAACGATGACTCGAAGATTTTTCTACTCAACGTTTGCGTTAAGTATTTTGACAGCAGTGTGCGTAAATGGCAATTAATTAGATCGCGTATCATAAGCATCAGATGGATATTCATGTTTTTTTCTTGCAAGGTGTCCTTGCATTTATTAATTTTATTTATTTATTTAATTTTCAAAATACACTACAACTTGTGATAAAAACAAAAATTAATGCTCAACAATAATAAATGTGATTTAAATATGAATAAATAAAAGAGAAAACAAATCAGAGCACTTTTACTGAATAAACAAAAGCTTCTTTGAGTTTCTTTTTTTTTAATAAATTCAACAAACATTATGAATGATAAGGCGGCAATAAATTCTTTATAATCATTGAGTTTGGTTCGCTTTCGTTACATTGAAATGCTGGGATAATTAAACTTAGAATACTTGCACGCGATGATTTTCACGATCGCACACAAATACATTGCCATTAGACATGATAGCCACACCTTCGAGTCCTTTGAATTCCGAATCACCGGAACCCCAGGAGCCAAAGGTTTTAAGAAAACTACCATCGGGATTGAAAATCTGTATGCGATTATTCCCAGAATCTGCGACAAATATATAACCTTGATCATCCACAGCAACACCTCTGCAAATATGAAAACAGAAATTAGCATTCTTTTTAACCAAGTTGTATAACAGAAAAATATTGCACTTGTTCTTTGCATTTAGTAAATTTATGACATTGTGTAATATAGACAATCAATATAATACCTGGGAAATTTAAATTGACCATCATCAGAACCTTCGACACCGAATGTGGAAACCACTTTGCCATTGACATCGAATATCTAAAAAATTAATTAAATAATCTTTTAAAGTCACTTCGAAATAATAAGAGAGCATATAAGCGTATACTCGCATAAGCGCTACAAGTGTCCGTTTCATGTTACATGAAAGTAACAAACGAGCGCAGAAGTAAATAGAATAAAATATCCGCAAAATTACTATGCTCAAAGTAACTCGTGTAGTGAAAATATCACTAAATTTGCTTGGTTGGGTCGAGAGAGTCCGAGAGATTGTCCCATTTAAATTTTCAAGAGTTAGCTCCAAGCACAGAGGTTTTCGGTCAAGTTTAAATATTATTATTATTATCATTTTAATTTTAGACTAATGAATTGAATTCTTAGACTAAAAAAAAAAGACATTGAGCACTAGCAACACAGGCTATCGGCTCTAATTTAAATAAATGGATATTAGATAATAAGCTTAGTAGTATTAATAAAGTAAAATATTGAATTGATATTCTGTTCTGAAGCTGATTGTAGAATGTTCAAAGGGTTAATCGTTCCAAATGCAATACTTCTAGCCAAGGAAAAGTTGAGGCAGTCGCAGAGAATGTGCTTTATAGTAAGAGTTTGTCCACAACAGCAGATTGGGGGAGAAGACTTCTTCAGGATCCATTGGTGAGTTGCAATTGTATGACCAAGGCGAATTCTCGAAAGTGTTTGGATCTTGGTTTTCTCAACATTTGTTGGATATAGAGGTGGAGTTAATTGAGGGTTAATGCAAGAGTAGTATTGATGATGGTATTGTAAATTTCCTTCTGCAATTTTCTCTTTAACTTTTCTTCCAATGTATGTTTGAAGATCCAACTTTTCCATGACGTCATCCATAATTAGAGGAGCAGAAGCAGCACACTTTGCCGCTCGATCAGCCTGCTCATTTCCCAGTAAACCGATGTGACTTGGTACCCATAACATTTTAATTTTTCCGTCGGGTCTAGTAATTATATTCGTTAATTTGTTGATGGTGCTCCATCTCGAAGTCGAAGGGTTCCGGGTAGCTTGTAATACAGACAAACTGTCGGTAACAATGAGGGTATGGGCAAGGTTGGCAGCGTGAAGGATAGCTCTGGCTTCGGTTATGAAAGTTGAAGTGCTTTCGTGAAATATGTGGTTGAGAAGAACGCGCCCTGTAGCATCTACCACCGCACAAGCAGGAGGCAGACCAGGAGATTTTCAGCCGTATGTGTACAAAAGATTCCAACCAGTATTGTCCAATACTTGGGTTTTCTCAGCTATTAGATTCCTGAAGACGTAATTTGGAGTATCTTCTTTCTTGTGCATAGACAGTGAGATGTCAAAAGAGCAGTCTTTCAAAATCCAGGGTGGTTTAACACCAAAAGATTTGAAAATTTTTAAGGGAATGTTCAGTTCCTTTGCGATGCACAAACAATGGTCAATTGCAGATGGTGACTTTGGAATTTTCTTCGCAATAATAATCTTTCTTACGTCATCACCGAGAATGGATTTGTTTGAATTAAGAAGCTTAGGGACTATTTTAGCTTTTAACTCATACAGTCTATTTTCTAGGAGGGAAGTTGGGAGACCAGTTTCAATTATAATATTATTTATGGGCGTCGTCCGAAAAGCATAACAACTTGCTCTAACGGCTTGGTGATAGACCGGTTTAAGGATGTTGATATTAGATTTGCAGCTATTCCCATAAATTATCAAAGCATATTCAATCTTGCTTAACACAAGCATTTTGGTAAGATAAGCGATAGTGTTAATATGCGCATGGCTTCTCCAAGCAACGTACTGTATGAAATTTACACTTGTTAAAAGGGAGTTTTTTAACCGAAGGCAGTGTGCTTTGCAACGATAATTGTTTGAAAACGTGAGCCCGAGAACATGGAGCGTCTGCACATTTAGTACTGGTAAGCCGTTAATATGCATCAGTAGGTTTCCTGCATCGCACATTCGCGATCTGGAAAAGCGTGACAGAGAGAGGAGATCCTTGCGGAATGCCATTCTTTAGCGGAAAGGAATCAGAAAGATGATTGTCGATTCTAACTTTGAACCGCCGATGCGACATGAATGATTTGATGTAGTTGAAGAATTTGGGTCCAACATTTCATGATTTCAAGAGTCTTAAGATAACATGACGACCAACTCTGTCAAATGCTTTTTCGAAATCAATTGAGAGAATTGTTACGTGATTTCGTTCGGAAATTGCTTTGCTTGTGAAATAATCAATATGTAACAGAGCGTCGATGCATCCTCTACCCCGCTTGAAACCAACTTGTTGCTTTGTTATCAGGTTCTTGGATTCAAGAAACCAAGATAATCTAAATGCCATAATCTTCTCTAAAACCTTAGAGAGGCAAGATAAACGAGAAATTGAGCGATAATCTGATGCGATGGAGACATTTTTTGACTTTGGAATTGGAACAACTGTTGCCAGTTTCCACATGTAGGGTATATGGCCAGTCAAAAAAACCGTATTATATAGGTCCAGTAATTTCTTTTCACTTGAATTAGACATAGCACTGATCATTTGGTATGAGATGCGGTCTAGACCAGGTGTCTTCCCCTTCAAATTGGAGAGACATCTTCCAAGTTCTGAATTAGATACGCAATTTTCCATGGCACATCTATCGATATTATTTGAAAGAGATATTGGAGTCCTTCTATTTTCGATGAAAGCACTGGAGAAGTTGCTGTCAGAGGAGTATTCGCACCACACTTTTCCAAAGTAATTAGAAATCTCATCTGCGTCAGTTAAAGTTCCATTGGGAGTGCAGATGGCAGAAATTTCGTTCAGGTTTTAAGTCTGTTGATTTTGTTCCAGACAACTTTCATTGATGTATTTCTGTGAATTCGTCTCGAGAAAAGTTCGAAACTAAGTGCCTTTGATTTCCGTAATTCCTTCCTGAATAGAGCATTGGCCTTTTTGTATAATAACAAGTGATTTTGATCAGGACATCTCTTAAAGCGGTGCCATAGATCCATTTTATTTTTCCTCAAAAACGAAAGCGTGTTGTTCCACCAAGGAACCCTAGCTCGTTTAAAAGAGGTGTTGGATTGAGGAATAGAAAGATGAGCAGCCGTGCGAATCGATTTAGACATAATAGCAGCATCATGGTTGCAGTTTCCGTTAAATGGCTTTGAGTTCAAAAATGACTCCACCTGTTTGGAGTAATTGATCCAATCCGGTTTATCTAGGAGGAATTTGGCCTGTTTTGCTGGAGTAGCAGAGGACGTTGAAAGTTTAATTTCGATTATGATTGGAAAGTGATCACTATTATGTAGATCATCAGAAATAGCCCAGGAAACCAAAGAAAGAAGTGAGGGAGAGCAACATGTTATGTGAAAAAGTATGATGAGTTGAAAAGACCGTTGGTTTTCCATCATTTAAAACGCAAAGGTTGCTTTGAAAAAAGGCTTTTTCTAAAACAGTACCGCGAGTGTTGTTCACTGTTGAGCCCCAGATGGTATTCCAGCTGTTGAAATCGCCGCATATAATTAATGGGGGGGAAAGTACGGAGAATAAACTGTAGAGTTCTTGCTGAGAAAACGATTGCGAAGATGGAATATAGAGCGAAAGCACTGTAAATTTTATATTTAACATTATTTGTATCGCTACGGCCTGTATACTTGAGCTTAAATTTATGCGTTTGTGAGGTATACTTGATTTTATAAAAACACCTACTCCTTGTTTAGAATATGAATTTTGATCAGCATTCGTGAAGTATCCAGTAAATGATTTGGATGGAATAGGATTAAAAGAGCTTCTACAATGGGTTTCTTGAAGCGATAAAAAGGTTGGATTAAAATCACTTATGAGTGTACGGAGTTCATCAAAATTATTAATAAGTCCTTTAATGTTCCATTGTAGAATTTTAAAAACTTTATTTAATTGTAATGACATGTAAGCAGAGTGGAGGGGGGGTTAAGTTGACATGTCAGCGTCTCCGTCGAGAAGGTCACTATAGGAATTTTTCGTGAATGATTTATTCTTACCAGCAGAATAATCTGTATTTAGGTGATTTGGTACATTTGAAGCGCAACGGGTTGACGCACGTGAATAATTTGAAATTGAAGGTTGAAGAATGGATTCATTAACACTTGTGATTTGTTGAGTAAAGTTGAGAGCTGGAGATTCTGGAGAATTTGGTATATTAGATTTTAGCATATGTGTTGTTGTTTGGATTTTTTCAACATTTGCAATTGCTTTGGTTTTTTCAATATTATCTTTGGCAAGTGATGTAACTGGTCTCGCAATATAATTTTTGGTTAATGGTGGAACAGGTTTTTCATTGGAAGCAGTTGCAGTTAAAGTCTTACTAGGCTCGATTTGCGAGGCAACAGCAGCATAGGTATTACTTTTGCCAATTCCATGGGCTGCAGATGGATATCTTTCCCGGTATGTGCGTCGCGCTTCGCCCATGCTACAGTAATTTTCTGTTTTAGTTTTAATATTTCACGCATCTGTACAAAACGTGGGCATTGTTTGTCTAACGCTGATTGTTGATCATTGCAATTTATGCAGAGACTACGGGTACAGCTTTCAGTATGTGGAGGATGACCACAGTTAGCACAAGATGCAGCATTAGTGCATCTTTTTGCCGTATGACCCAGGCGTTGGCAATTTTTACACTTCATAGGATTTGTGATGTATAGTTCTACTTTACATTTATACCACGCCACATCAACTGTTCGCGGTAATCGATAGCGATCAAAAGTTAAAATAATCCTTCCTGTAGGAGAGCGTGTTTTTCCGTCATCATTCAGTTTGGTTAATTTATATACTTCAGTCACTCCTTGAATGCCCATTTCGCGAACAATTTCATCTTCCGGCACATGCTTTCAGCAAGGGGCATAAATTACGCCTCGAACCGAGTTAAGTTTCTCATATAGTTTAGCTGAAATAGCACATAGATTAGCTAAAGATTTGGCCTTTGTGAGTTTTTCGGTTGCGCGCGGGTTCCCAGCGAGGACCAGTAAATTCCCATCGCGTAGAAATGAGATGGAGTCGATGTATGTTGTAATGCTATCTAGAGCTTTTTTTATAACAAAAGGGCTAATTTGGAAAATTGTTATTCGAGCATCGGTTGAAGAAATAACAATATATTTTTTATCAATAGGGGTTATACCGCTGATCGGCAACACCGGAAAAACTGAATTTTTACTTTTTTTTCTTTGGGGGGATGTACCACTTAATAGATAAAATCTATTCGAGTTTTTGTCTGGCGGCCCCGGGGCCATTATGCCTTATTGTTGTCTATTGCTTATTATTTGTGAAATAACCACTCACTTGAAAAGGTTTGGGAAGTGTGGAAGAAGGTTGGGA